AGCTAAAGAATTAGGAATTAAAGAAGATAATTAAGAGCTAATTCATTCTTCATTGTTTCTTTAAATTCTTATTATTGTTTGTACAACACTCTTTAATTAATATAATTTTTTTATGGAAGTTAAAAAAGAAACTCTTTTGCTTCTTCTTTTCTTTTTACTTAATTTCGTTCATATGTTAAACAAACTATTTGATGATATTATATTTCAATCACAAAGTGTTTTTAATCAATTACTAAACATTTTTTTAGGTATAATTAAAAAATATGAACATTCAAATAAAGCTTAATATAAAAAATAAAAACAAAAGTAACAAAAACCTTTGAAAATCAAATGAAGAAATAGAGTCATTTTCAATGTATGATTATTTCATTTTAACAAACAATCCAATGTTAATTTATTCTTTTTCAATTACACTTATCCAACGTAGTATTAAAGAATCTCCTTAACTATAATAAGTACAATATTGTATAATTAAAACCATTAACTGTAATATATTAAAAAGACAAGAAATAAATTTTAGTTCATCCAATAACGATGAAAATTTAGAAGATTTATTTGTTAATAAAAAAATTTTTAGAAAATAAAAGAGTCAATAAATATTAGTTTTTATTTATATGAAAAATAAATAGAAATTAAAATAAATAACAAAAAATAAATCAGTCATCAAATTTGATGGATTGAACGGCATAAGGATCAATCTTACCTTTAAAGTCTGTTCTTTTTAACTTAGTTTTGGACTTTTGAAATCCTTTTCCTTTAGTTTCATGAAGAGTACGTGCAGCATTAGGAATCTTCTCTACATCTCCATATGCAGCAGCAGCTTTTCTTTCAACATTATTTCTATCAATCTTTTCTCCATTACAACTGTAGTCTCCAAACTTACCACCTTTCCAACCGTTATTTGTTTGCTTCTTTACTTTTTTCTCTAAACTTTTCATTTGAATTTCACTTGTTTGTGGTTTTGATTCAACCTGTTTTTCTTTTTCTTCATTCTCTTCATCAACTTCTTTTTTTGCTTCTTTTTTAGCTTTTTTTTGTTTCTTAAGAGCTTTTTTTTCTTCTTTACTTAACTTTTTATGTCTCTCTTCTTTCTTAGCTTCTTTTTTCTCTTTCTTCTCAACATTTTCATCTTTTGGTTTTTTGATAGCTTTTTTATCTTCTTTAGTTTCTTCTTCTTTAATTTCTTCTTCTTTAATTTCTTCTTCTTTAGTTTCTTCTTTCTCAATTTCTTCTTTTTCTTTTTCAATTATTTTGGCTTCTTTCTTTTTAGACTTCTTTTCTTTTTTTTCTTCTGTTTTTGGTTCTTTAATTACCTTTTCACTATTATCTTCTTTACAAACTTCTTGTTTCTTTTCTTTCTGAAGTTGGTTTATTTTTTCTTCAATCAATGTGTCAATGTCAATAGATGTCTCTCCTTTAATTTCAATTTTCTTTTCTTTTAAAAAAGACTTTGCTGTTTTCTTAAGTCCATTTTTAATTAAATAAGCATATACTGCTTGAGCTGATTCCTCGTTCATATCAATAACAGTCTAATGTCTATCAAAGTTTTTTAGGGTTAATTCAAATAAAATATAATATTATTACATTTTTAATAAATCATACTATTTACAGTTACTATTTTATTTAGTATAGAAAGCATTCTATTCATTACAAAGACTCAATTAAATTCAACCACTTATCTCTATTACACTCTGAACATGCAATAAAATGAAGTTTTATGTCATTTTGAATTACTAAAAATGCATTGTGAACTTCGCCATCACTAACAATTAAACTTGTAACTGGTGGATTTAATTCAATTCTAATTTCTTCATTAATAACTAATGACATAAGATCTTTTTTAGTCCATTCTATTGAGGAGGTAAATTTTCTCATAACCCACCCATCATCTACAGGAACATCATTAACTTTTTTGATAACTGTAATAAGAAGCATGTCACTCATCAAGAAACATAGCCTTGGTCCTTTTTTAGGAAATTCATCATTAATAGGAATTAATAACCCGTAGTATAACAGCTTTCTTCTTTTTTGAATCAAAGCGCCAGTAGATTTTCGTAAAATCATTTCAACCAGTGATAAATCATCTGAGGAAGCTGCTGTTTGAAGTAATGACAATGATGACTTATGTATTGTTTTTAATGCTTCATAACATTCATTTAATGAAGAATAATCACTGTTAATTGGAGCTGATTGTTTGATTGTTGCTGCAAAAAACTTAACATATTCTTCTAACCTTGAAATTGGGAAATGAAGGTAAGTTGCTGGTGATTGTGGTAATGGTGGAGTAAAGTTTTGGTTTGATCCATTAGATATAGAAGCATCTCTTTGAGTTTGTACATAAGCAGATATACACAGTACAACTTGTTTATTTAATTCAAGATTCTCTTGGATATCAGGGAATGTTTTAGTCATTGTTTGATAATTAGAGAAATACTCAGTAAACACATTAAAATTGTCCAAATATTTTTTCATTAATTCACCTATTGGAACTGTTCTTTCTCTTGATATAGACTCTTCTAATCCATTAACAATATTTCTACTTAATGTTATTAAAGGAGTTAACACCCTACTAATTTGTTCTCCAAGTTTTTTATACGTAGATGTTGCTAATAAAGCTTTTACATAAATTTCATTAAATTCTACTAATCCCTGAAAATAATGAAATTCATCCTTAGCAAATTGATTAATTGAGAGTTCCATTTCAGCTGATTCAATTTTAATATCTAAAGGAGTCATATCTGCTGATTTACGTCTAGTACTATATTTAAATTTAGTTTTACCACATAATGATTTCCTTAATGTAGCATTTTGTGTTTTTGGAATATGAATTTTAACAATTCCATAAATACCTAATGCCATTGCTTCTCTTGTTTCTTTTGATTTATTATCAATTAGCTTTGTTAATACTTCAATAAATTGATCAACTTCTTCTTCACTTAATGTTTTCTTTGATTTAATTTCAGTAAATACCGTTTGGGTTTTTAAAAGATCAGCTTGTCTAATATTTGCTAGTCTTGCTTCTTCAAGTCCTTCTTTTAAAATATTTATCTCTTGCATTTGAGTAAAGTTTTCTTTTAATAAATTTCTTACTTGATTTGATAAAGTATCTTCACCTTCTTTTGTGTCTAATGACGCTTTTCTTTCTCTTGACATAAGTATCATCATTCTAGGAGATGATGTTGTTGGCGTAAGAGGTTTATTTCCACGACTTCTTGGAGACGCTAATGTACTAAGATTACATAAGTCCATAGAATGTACACGACTAATATTTTCTGGTGATTTAATAACTTTTTCTGCTTCTTCCATTCTAATTTTTAATACCTTTTCATCTATTTCTAATTGTTTCTTTTTTCCTTCAACTGATTGTTCTTTAGTTTCAATTGTTTTAATCCTTTCATCAAGTACTTTTTGTTGTTCTTTGATTTGTAATTGTAATTCCTTTAACTCTTTTTTTTTTGTGTCTAATATTTGTTCTATTTCTTTTAACTTTTCTTCTTTTTTATCGTATTGAATATCACAAAGCATAACTTCTGCTTCACGTGAACGAACATTTGATTCTTGATCTAAAAGTTTTTTTTCTTTATCCATTAACTCATTTTCTTTTTTTTTTAATTTTTCTTCTTTTTCCTTTATCATTAAATTCATTACTTCAAAGTCTTTAATTTTTTCTTTCCATTCTTCGAACTCTTTATTATATTCTTCATTACTTATTTCTGGAAGTCTTGGACTTTGTGATGGGGTATTGTCATTTATATCTTCTCCAAAAAATTGGGTTAAAGCTTTACTATCTTTTTGTTCATCTTCTGTAAGAGGTGCATCTTTACTAGTCATTTGCCATAATTTTTTAACTTGATGTAACTTCGCTATAAAGTCCACAACATTAAATGGAGAAGTTTCTTGAAAAATTTCTTTCCAAATCCATACTTGTAATTCACGAGGCTAGAAGCTGTATAAATATTTATATATAAATTGAGGATTTAAAGTAAACAAACTGTTTTGAATGGACGATTTGGAACGTATTTAATTGTTTTTAAATACTCTTTTTCTATATTGATCCAATAGTCAAATGCTTGTTTTGTGTTCATGACTTCAGTCATTGTTAATATAGGAACTAATCAGATCCTGTTTAGAATAAAGAATATAACCAACGTGGAAGATTGCTCATAAGCAAAAGTTAAAAAAAGTTTTTCCTAAAAAAAGGATTTGTATTATTATTTTTGTTTCTCCCTTTAAAAAAAAATATTTAATAAGAACTTAAAAAAGAATAATAAGAGATGGTCTTTCTTCTATTTATTATTATTCTTATTCAAGTATCTTTTACTTCTTGTTACGCAGAGTTCTGTAATATCCCTACCCTTTCATTAAAACCTTTAAATAACTCAACACTTAATAAAATTATAATTATAACAAGACATGGTGATAGAAATAGTATTTTTGCAAATGTTAATCAAACAAAGTGTAATGGAGGAGAATGCGTTGTTGGTGAATTAACTGATGTAGGAAAAAAACAAATGAATAATTTAGGAATTGCTATAAACCAATTATTAAAAGAATATGGAATTAGTAATATTACTTTTGAAAATATCAGAGCACAAAGTACACAATGTAATAGAACAATTAATTCAGCAAAAGCATTAATGGAAGGATTATTAAATCAAAAAGTAGATACTGAATTAATAGATACAACAAATAGTCAGTATTTTGCACCTCATTATATTATTGATAATACAACAGTTGCAGAACGAAATAAAAGATTAAAAATACTTGAAGATACTATGAATGATAATATAAAACAATTAATCTTTAAATTTAAAAGACTGTTTAAAGGAGAGTTTAAAACAACAAATTTGATTACATCATTTATTAATGTTTATGATTATTTACAAGTCTTAAATTGTTATAATATTCCATTCCCATCAAACGAAAAAGAACAAATTACTATAGATGATGTAATTTCTTCTGAAATGTATTTAAGTTATATGGCAGGTTATTTATTAGATTCTCAAGTATCGTCGTTGTCAACAAAGTATTTAAGAGATGAAGTTATTTCCTTCTTAGATGGAACATCAATTTGTAAAGAAACAAATTGTTCAACTCCTTCTTTGCCTATCACCGAACTCATTTCTGGTCATGACGATACGTTATACTCTTTAATGGTTTCTCTTCATCAACAAGACATACAATTACCTCCATATAGTTCTCATATTTTTATAGAAAAAGTTCAAATAGGTATTGATTATTTTGTCAGAGCGTCATATAATTCTCAAGTATTAAGAATATGTAATAATCAAGTAAAACTTTGTCCATTCCAAGAGTTTAAAGATTGGTTGAAATGATTGAAGTTTTTTTAGTTTTTAAGATTTTTATCTGTTTCATCTCTTTATCTTCAAATTTATTTATTTTATTATTAAATGAATTATATCACTGGAAATACCCGTATTGAAGATGAACGTTTAAAACAATATTTTAGTGGTAAAGGATGTGAATTATTAATTAAAAACCATATTACAACTGGTTTGTTATGATATGAAATTATTAATACTATTCTATTAATTTGTTAGTTAATGATTTTGTTAAAGCACCTTTATCAAAGTTTGAAGGAATTATCACTGACCTTGAGCAAGTTAAAAAATTACAACTCAAGTTTGCCCTTCAATTAATTTCTAGAAGTTATACTCTCAAAGATTGGAAAGATTCTATTACTATACATCCTATTACAACAGGAATTACTGCGTTTGTATTACTTTTATAATTTTAGAGAAATAGAAATAATAAATTAGAATTGACAATGCATTACCTGATAATGGACTAGTTCAAGGAAGATTTTATGATTTTATTGGAAATATTGACGGACCAATCAACCATGTAATAATAACAATTGTGTGTTCTTTTTTAGTTTCAACAAATGGAGATGTACTTTGGATTGATACGCTTTCACATCCTGATTTTGATATTGTTTTTGATATATTAAATAATCAATTTGGTTGTACTGAAACAGATATAATTAATATTTATTTCACTCGTATTCATGTAATTACTATTCAATCATTTTATAAATTAGATAATTTATTTGAAAGTATTATTGTTTGTTTATTACTTTAACTATATGAATAAGTTTATTGGAATATTCTTATATACTTTAGAAAGAAACAAAAAGTCAAATGGTAGTTATTAATTCATTGTCTCAATTAATTCAAGGCAACTTATTGATGTCATCTCCTTTATATCAAAAAACAGTTCAATTTTTAAATCGTATTTGTTCCATTGCATTCTCTCAACAACTTATTATCTTGGTTTGTTTAAACCTTTTTTCATTTTGTGATACTTATTTTTATAGAATATTACATTTCAACAAATAGTACTTTATGAAAATCAATCACCTCACTTGGTTGAAACAGTCTTGAAAAATGGATATCCTTCATTTCCTACAATGAGAATCGCAATTATGTCTCAAGACAACCAAGTTAGTGCTTTACTTATAAAACCTCAATTATTATTTAAAGAAGACATCAATGAATAAAAAATAATAAAGGGGGGGAAATAAGAAGTTATATGTTGTATTATTTTAAAATTAAAATATAATTTTTGTACTTTATATTAAATTTTTTGATTATAATTTTTATTTTAGTTTATTAAATAAGTTCAATAATAGAAAAATTGAATATTATTGGAAATTAAAAATTTGATGTAATTGTTTTATTTAGTTAAATTTGAGAATAAAACAGTTTGAAATTAATTATTTATAAGAATTATAGTAAAATTTCAATTGAATAAAATATTTTTTAATAAACAAAAGAATAATTAAAATAATTGAATAAACATTTAAAATCACTCACAATCAGGATATATCCTTTAAGTTTTAATAATCAAAAATACTTAAACCTTGTCTCTATTTTTTTAATAAGGAAGACATATGTGTTAGTTGTTATTTACAAGTTTGTTTTATGTTTAGAGAAGATAATTTTTTAAATATTTATATAATACTTGACTTATATTTATATTTTTATTGCTATTTATTTTAGAAAATAACATTCTTTTATTTTTGGTTCAATAACTAACTTTGTTTTGTAAATAATATAACCTCAAAGCAATCTAACTAAAAGGAATTTGAAGAACTTTAACAATAAAAAAATATTGGAATTGACCTTCATAATTCCAGACTTATATATTTCTCTATTTCCTTATCGTATGGCTTTTCGTCTATTTTATAACAAACATTAAAAGTAACCTTATGATAGTCATCTGATCTTTTTTTAGGGTTTTAAACATATTCTATTATGACTAGTGCCTTCTGCATAAAGTTGACATACTTAGTATCTGGTTTTGTTTATGAGTTACTACTTCTTCCTAATCTGATAGAACCCTCATATTTTAGTAGTCATAATATCTTTACCATTTAATTTGGGTTATAAAACAATGTAATTAGAGTGTTATCCTATTTTATTGTTAATTCTGATGATGTGTTTAAAGAGTAAATTATTTAATTGGTATTGATGACTTAGAGTAAGGAAAGATTATTCTAGTGTGTTAAGTTATTCACTAAAGAGTGGAAAAAATAATGAAGATGGCTTGAATAGAAATATCCAAATGATGGAATATTTAGATTATGAAAATCCAAGAATAAGTGAAGACGAATTAATACTACTGCTCCAATTCTTAAGCAGATTATCCAAATAAAAAGAAATAACATTTGTTTGAGAATGTCTGTATTGACTTTAAGTTTTTTAAGAAAGTCATTACCGTTTTGATATAAACAATTATTTAAACGAATATCTTCTTCATCACATAATAAATCAACTCCATCAAAGAATATACATAAACAAATATTTCGTGTAATTCTATAATAACTAATGGTGTAAATCCATTTCAACCATCTAGGAAGATTTGAGTAATTCTTGATCGTTCCACTAAATAGCATTAAAGTATAAATAGTTGCTATTTCTAAAAAAGTACCAACCTTTTTATTAATGATGATATACCCAATTAATGCACTCATAGTAACATTTATTTGAGATGATAATAAAGACGTAAACCAATATTTTAAAAACCTCCAAAATGAAGGTTGGAAATCAACAAAAGGATAAAACACAATATCAAATAATGTTGGGTTTAATACCATTGTTGGTAGGTTGAAAATATAGTCTGCAAGAATATAAGCTGAAGCATAAACCTTATGCATTTGACTTTCTTTTCGTATTTGAACCATATTATTTACTGAATAAATAACTTGGTCAATAGTAAATAATGTTTTACTAATAGTTGCAAAGTAAAGAACATTTAGTTTTTGAATTAATGTTGTTTGGTTGTAGTTTATTAATAGAAATATTGTTCCAATAGAAATACCTCCAATTGTAAAGAGAAAAAGATGAAGGAAAATGTTTATGGGATATTTCCATCCAGTTCGATACTTTTTTTTAGTAATTTTAATGAATTGATAGGTCCACTCTACAACGCAATGATAAAACTCTTCAAAATAATGATGATTTGTCATAGGATAGACTGATTCAATTATTTGGAGAATATCTTCTTTTAATTGATAAAGTTGACGATTATATTCAACTGTTTCTTGTTCAGAAATAACATAGTCACAAAAGAAATAATCATGATTTATTTCAGGAAAAACAAGAATAGTTGGTACAAAATGAGAAATATACTTTAGTCCACTTATGATTTCATGACAAGGATATTTTAAATAATTTAAAATAATTACTTTAGGATATCCTATGAGAATACAACAAACATGCACCATATATTTTTGTGTTATTGATAGTGTTCGATATTTACAATGAATGTTTATTTGAAACAAAGACAATAATGCTTTAGTTTCATCACTGTATTTTTCTTTTGAATGGTGGTTCATAATATCACAAAACGAGTAATACTGTTGAGGTCGTTTATAATAATATACCATTTCCAATACACTATCTTGTGACATGTCCTCAATCATTTCAATTTGGTGAGTGATATATTCTGAATTGCATATATCATTTTCAATTTGTTTCCAATCACTTTTCTTGACTCCAATTAAACAGATACTTTGTACATATCTTCTGTCGGGTTGAATTATCTCAGATAAAAGAGTTGAATTAGGATATTGAATATCAAAAACAAGTTGTTTGATTGTATTAGCATTTGATGTGTATTGAGTTTGGATCATATGATTGAATCTCAAGTTTTCATCTTATTTACTATATCTCGTTTTAATATTATTATCAAACCCAAGATATTAAGATCAATTTTTTATTAAACAATACCACAATTTCAATTTTACTCTAACAACTTTTAATTTTTAGTATTGTATTTTACATTTACTTATATCCAATCAATTGTATTAGTACTTTAAATAATTACATTGTTATTAGGTTAAATATAAAAAACTAATTAATTGATACCTTTTTTTTATCAGATAATATGATGGTTAAACTGTTATTAATTTATAAAGTTTTATGTTTAAGCTATTAAGTAACACCATTAAACATTAAGAAATATTATACTAAAAACATTTTTGAAATTAGTAACTTTATTTAGTAGATCTTTTTTTATAATTTATGAATAATCGCAGTTTTTTTAAATTCAAGTTTTTATTCATCTCTTAGTAAAATGTATTATTTATAATGATTACAGTAAAATATTAATTTGAAGGAATACTGTAAGAGTCTAAAAGCATAGTTTTAGTTTCAAGTTAATAAGTGTTTTGAATAAGTCAAATCTTCAATTCTTATAATATAGGTGATTTGAATAACGAAATAAAGTTGGTGATTAATTTTTTATTACACCCAAAAAAAAAGAGGATTAACATCATTCTCAGAGTGAGATAATGATAATAATTGAGTGTAAATTGTAAATTAAAAATAATAACAAAAAGTATATCAATCAACACGTGAAATATGTAAAGTGATCATATCTTGTGGTTGTGCTTCAAGTCCATCAAACCATAAGCAAAGAAATATTCCAAACGATATAGTTTCTATTAACAAAGAGAAAAATGCAATGGAACATAACATTCTAAATGTCATAAATGGTTTAACAATTCTCGAATAACAAGTTGGTTTATGTAAATACTGACAATACTCTCGTTGGGATTTATAACCACAACATTCAAACTAAATAAATAAATAAATGGCATTTGAATAAAATTTAAATGTTTAATAACAAACTTCATACTCTAATGACATCATCTTTGAGGTATTTTCTTTAACTAATGAACGAACAGAATAAGTATCAATGAATGCAATAAAAGTAACTGTAGACATTAATAGAGTTGTTATAAATAATAAAGAAAATGCAATAATAAATGATGGTGATGAGTGAATTTGATATAAATAAAATACAATAATTGCTACTATAACAGCTACAACTCCACAAATTAAAGATAAACTTGAAACGGAGTAATCTCCCAATGCATGTTTGGAAGATATTTGATTATAAAAACAAATACAACCATGTCCTATCATAAAAATGCCAACTGTCTTAATAAGGTCAATACAAACAATATTATTTATAGAAAAAAAACACAAACTGCAGTTATTGATGAAATGATAATGACTATAATGGTAAAATTACTAAATCCAGTTGCCATCTTTTTATCTGAAAATAATGGAATTAATGAGATCTATTATATTAACTTATTAATAATATAAAAAACAAAAACAAATAATTATTTGATGTTATAAAAAATAAAAATCAATGAAAAATAAAAAAGATAAAAAATAAAATAAAAAAAAACTATAAACTATAATATCTTATCATATTTATCATGTTATTTTTCATTTTCTTTATGACAATCATTTTATTAACATCTGCCCAATCGAGTCCAATCCCAATTGACGTATTTCTTGTTTGTTATTATTTTTATATTATTTATTTTCTATATTATTTATCATTAAGGAAGACACAAACAATTATCAACCAAAAGGAAATGCTTATTTAGCACAAGCAAAACGTATGGAACAATTTAAAAAGGATATGGAAAAACTGATACTCGAAGCAAACCAAAATGTACAAAAATTAGAACAAGCAAGACACAAACGAAATCAACAAGCACAACAAGTTTTAATGGCGGGTGGAAAAATTAATTAAAACTATAATTTAAATTCAATCAATTCTATCTCTTTTTTGTTGTTTAGGGAACCAAATGTATAAAATAATAAGGAGTATTAGTCCAATGATATCAACACAAAAATATGTATTAATAAAGAATTTCCATGAATCACTAAATGTATAAATCACAAATGGAATAAAAGAATATGAAATAGATATACGTGCATAAATAAATGTTAATACCAAATAACTATAATATATTAATGAATCTTTTCCATATTTCTTTATTATTATTGGTTCAACTCTAGAATGAAATCCACAAGACACATCATGATGTAATGCTAACATTCCAAATGAAAGATAATAACCAGGATAAATACCATGCCAAAATGCACTGATTAAGTTAGTTAATGATTGTTTATATTCATTTAGTATTCCTCCAAATAATTCGAGTGATTCATAGATATGATTTTTCATAAATGTTTGAATATAAATATTCCAAGAATCAATAACTAATTTAGCTGAATTAGAAAAGAAGAAATCATTTAATTTAACATTTTTAAATCCATACCATGTGGGTTTATTTTCTTTTACTCCTGAATAACCAAATCCAAATAGAATACCCATACATTCTGCCATTTTCCATGTTGCAAAATATCTAAATACAATTGAATAAATAAAAATCATTACCATACCCATTTTTTGAATAAAAGAATAGTCATTTGCATTATTAATAACTATTTCATAGAAATAAACTTTTAATGGAATTATTATTACAATAGATGTTAATAATAATAAAATAATTCCTTGACTAAAAACAATAAAAAACTGTTTCCAATCAATTGGGGGAATTTTGTTTTTTAAATGATTGTTTGGGTATGATTCAAATAACTCTAATGTAACAAATTTTTTGTATGTTTGATATTCAATGCAAGGCCCACTGAAGATAGATGGAAAGAAATAAAAATATCCAATGAACTCAAGTAATGAAGGAAATTGATCGTTTGGAATATTGTTCATCTTATTATAATATGTTTGTTTTATAACATTAGTATTACTTCCTTTTGCTACATTAAATGCAAAGTTACCAAGTTTTATTACAACAATCATTTGTAAAGTAGTAATATCTAAATACCACTGAAGATAATGATTAATATATTTGTGTATTTGCAACAAAGTTAAAAACATTAAGTTCAGAGAAAATATAAAGAATGCTGCATGTAATGACTTCTTCCATTTCATAACATAATATGTTATCAGTCCTGGTATTATAATAATCATTGAATTAATCCCAAATACAAATAATAACATTATAACACCAACTATACTATAAACGAAATGTTTTAATCTTGGGTTAGAGGGTAAATATCGTAAAATATAACATAATGGTAATTCTATAAAAAATGATAAAAAGAATCTCATTTGATCACTAGGGACATGAACCTTTTCTGAGAATGACTCAATTATTGAATACATTATCAAATGATTATTGAGTTTATTAATATCTGGTGAAGTATTTAAATAACAAAAATAATAAATATTATTTTTTTTTTGTTTTATAATAATATGTTTTAATTTCATAGACATAAAATTGAAAATGAAAAGTATGAATTAATGATTTACAAATTGATATTTAAAAGAAAGTAGAATTGTAGAGTCTTGAGTCTAAGACAATATTGGCATTGGTTTGTAACATAGATGATATTTTTTTGTTTATTTCATTTCCAAGAATTTTGATTTGATTAGATCCTAAAAAGAAATGACCATTTAAAAATAAAGTAACTTCTCCTTCATAACCATCAATAGTTTCTATTTCTACTTCAACAAAATAACCAAATTCAATAAGTATGTCTTGTAAAAATCTCATTGCTTCTCTTCTTTTAGTAGGTTGAATTCTTCTCTTAGCAGTTTTCTTTGTAGTATTTCCAACTTTAAATTCATATTGAGCTTGTTCTTTTGAACGAGTTTGAATATATTGAAGAACATCAATTGAATCATTTTGATCACTAAATACAATCTTCTTTATTTTAATGAATTGTTTAGTAAGATGTGATATTCTATGTGGTCTTCCAACTGAAACAGTTGAAAATTGAGTTAATAAAGCAATTAAAATGGCTTGAAGATCTGCTTGATAATTCATAGCCTCTATTTGTCTTGCTTTAAATCTTGGTATTTCATCTCCTTCAAATGATTTAACAGGAGAATGAGTTTGAATTTTATTGTTATGAATATCATTAATATTAAAGTTAATAGTATTATCGTTTTTCTTGTTCATAAGAGAGTGCATTCGTTAATCTGATTGATAATATTATTTAGTCCCAATCCTTAAATAGACTAAAGAAACATTTTTCCAAAACAAAAGATGTCAAATCCAAGGTCCCAACTTCAAAACCCTTTGTCTTTCATTTAAAAATTAACGCTAAAATCTAACAATTTTTCTTGGTTCTTTATTAAAGGAAAAAAATTCTACGTTTTTAATATTCTTTTTACTATTATTTATGAACTTTTTTTAATTTCTGTAAATTCATTTTTATAATGTTTTTACCTTTTTTTCTTGATTGCCGTGAAAGGGGTAGCTATGGCAATATATGAAATTTTGGAACAATAACTGAATTTGAAAAATAACCAAACTTAACAAATTAAAATCATTCGACTCAAAAATAGCCTATTTTATTTTACCCGAATGCATCTAGACAAACAAATTTTATT